CGCCTCTATCCCAAACAGTTAGAAGAGTGAAGAATTGGCAATGGTTATTGGGTTGTGAGCTTGTTGCAGCAAACATGCATCCATATACCTCTTTAACTTTTTTTTTTATTTAATTTTAATGGTATAATTTGTGTACCTTTCAAGAAAATGAAATAAACATTTCCAAAAAATCACTTGGAAATAATCTTTTTTTCTTGCCATCAATTGAAGGTTGATGGGGATATATTATGAATTGTAGTTTATTTAATCAGTATATATTTATTTAACGCTTCGGGTTTACTATAGAGTTTATGTATGCAAGATAGTAAGCTTGTAACTGCAGCAGTGTTTCATATAAACACAGAGATAACAATTCCTATTGGTATTTACAGATATGGCTTTATTTTGACTATCAGTAAGCTATACACCGATGGCCAGAATCTTTAATGCTAATTTTACAAACATAAAATAAACAAAAAGGGTTTGTAGATGTGGGATATAAGAGTATGTTTTGCTCACATATGAAAGAACTTTCAAAGTGGAGCTTTTTTTGACCAACAGGGAACAGAACAGCTGGAATTTACCAAGAAGCAATTAGTGTGCAAATAGATACACACCGCCCTCTAGTGGCCAAACACAGCCTGTCTTTGACTGTATTGCCACTTAACATTTGCTTGCAGATCTATCCAAAAATGCAAAGAGAAAATGTCTGTTTGACAATGGTTATAGTCTTGGGTGTTAAGAGTCATGTGAAACAGAAGCCGTGGTTTCTGAGAACTGCCCAGACCTAGAGCAATGATTCGAATCAGCTGCTTCACAGTAAGGACATTGCTTCAGATCAATTCTGCCCTTTATATGATATCTGATGAATGTAAAACATAGAGATAAAGATGCATCTATATACCTCTTTAACTTTTTTTTTAATTTAATTTTAATGTTATAATTTTTGTACCTTTCAAGAAAATGAAATAAACATTTCCAAAAAATCACTTGGAAATAATATTTTTTTCTTGCCATCAACTGAAGGTTACCTGGGGATATATTATGAATTGTAGTTTATTTAATCAGTATATATTTATGTAACGCTTCGGGTTTGCTATAGAGTTTACATATGCAAGATAGTAAGCTTGTAACTGCAGCAGTGTTTCATATAAACACAGAGATAACAATTTTCAGAAAAATCCTATTGGTATTTACAGATATGGATTTATTTTGATTATCAGTAAGCTATACACCGATGGCCAGAATCTTTAATGCTAATTTTACAAACATAAAATAAACAAAAAGGGGTTGTAGATGTGGAATATAAGTGTATATTTTGCTCACATATGAAAGAACTTTCAAAGTGGAGCTTTTTTTGTTCAACAGGGAACAGAACAGCTGGAATTTACCAAGAAGCAATTATTGTGCAAATAGATACACACCGCCCTCTAGTGGCCAAATACAGCCTATCTTTGACTGTATTGCCACTTAACGTTTGCTTGCAGATCTATCCAAAAATGCAAAGAGAAAATGTCTGTTTGACAATGGTTATAGTCTTGGGTGTTAAGAGTCATGTGAAACAGAAGTCGTGGTTTCTGAGTACTGCCCAGACCTAGAGCAATGATTCGAATCAGCTGCTTCACAGTAAGGACATTGCTTCAGGTCAATTCTGCCCTTTATATGATATCTGATGAATGTAAAACATAGAGATAAAGATGTTAGACAGCTGGACATAAGTGCTCTTTAATGGCTTGGCGATAAAAGGGGAATTCATATAAAAATAATAGGAATATATAGAGAAAGAGGAATTTCTTTCAGTATCCGTTATCCTATCCTTGCTTCCACAATATAATAATGCCTTGTATACTCTCAAGTAAGGAAAGACTTTTAGGGGGGTTCATCTTATCAACTGTTGTTATCCATCAGTGTAAAAAAAAAAAAAGAGTTTAACATGAAGTTTTTTTTTTTTTCAGTTTTACTCAAGGTACAACACTGAAGTTGTTTTTTTTTTTTTTAAAGAAAAGTAAAAACGTTTGTGCATAATTCTAAGCTTGTCTTCTAAATAATATTTAGCACTGTCACTTACCGCATCGGTTAGCAAATTCCTCTCACTCTTAAACTTGGAACTGGGACATGGTTAAGTTGGATAATTTATATTTCTCTTATTTCATATATTAAATTACGCTATTTACTCACTATAAAAGTTTTTACTCAGTCTGTTTCACCTGCAAGGCCACACAATTCTCTGTGTGAGACAATTCTCTGTTTGTAGACCAGACATAGCTTCTTCCCATAACAAATCAGATTCTTTCTCAAGGTTTATTTATAACATGTTACCGTTAACCAAAGTTATTTATTTTGATTCTGACTGCTTTTCCATTGTTGTAAGTAAGGGGGAACGAACGCTTCCCAGATCAGAACAGGGCTGAATACTGTGCCGTAAGGGCTGTATGGTGAACTTTTCTTTCTTTGAAAAGAAATGATTAAATATGCCGACTGAGTGAAATCCATCGATCTCTGTTTACTTAACTAGGGTGAATAGTTGAATACTTCTTTCCCACTACAATAGTACTCTGACTTCTAACCATGGAAGTATATACAGTAGGTTAAACACAGAATATATTCCCATCTTGCTTTTGATTTACTGTGATTATGGTTATTGGAGCTTTATAAAAAAAAAATCCCTTTTTTCTGTTTCAGGAAGTTTCTGATAAATGATAGGTTGCCATGTCTGAATAACCATTTTAAATTGTTTAAGATATTTGCTCCACAGCACAACTATTTGTAAGTAGCTAATAAATTAAAACAGGTATCTTCTGAGTACCAATAAAAGCATTTTAAATACCACCAGTGGTACCATTTAAAACACTCTTTGTAAACATATAACAGAACCATTTTCAGGCACAGGTTAAAAGAAAGAAAAGAGTCATTTAAAGTGCTTTCGCTGGTAGGGTTGGCATTGAGGAACAAAGTATAGACATTTTTTCTGTTATCTAACATGTCTTTACACAATGCAGTCTGTTTCATTACAATTATCTCAGCTACTGTAGCGGGCCAGAAAATTATTTTTCACACTGCCCCTAAGGTGGTTTTAATGTCCATATTTAACTGTGATTAACTCTTATCTTCTTTTTATTTTTTTGGGTGGGGTGGGGGGTGGAGGGAGGGGGGAGTATTAGGAGTCTTTGAAACTTAAATTTAACACAGTTCAAAAAATAATATGTGTTTAACAGGATATTCTATTCTATTAAAACCAATCACAGAACCTCATCTATAGAGACAATGTCTAAATTGTTGGGAAATTTGGCGTATTGAGGTTATTTTAAGTTTACAGCATCTTTTTTTTTTAAGACTTTTCGACACCTATGTATTAAGGAGTGTTTATCAATTCTGTTGGCTTGCACCAGAGAAATCTCTGGTTGGAATGCTGATGTATTGAAGCAGCAAGGAGATTCCTCCTACTGCTCACATTTCAAGGCAGATGCAAATCAAACAGCCACTCTTTGTTCTTAAGGATTGTAGGGGGGCTATTATTTTTGTGTATATTTTGTTATACAAAACTCTAAAATATAAATGTTTAATGAAACTTTCTGCAAAACAGGATTCTGTTAGTTTAGACTAATATCTATTAAACAATGTGTCGAAACTATTAGGCTTATTATTCAGAGCAATCTGTGTCCTCAAGCTACAAAGCGGCTATGCTGACCTTTTAATGACTCATCTCAGCTCTAATATATGTATGTAAATAAAGTTACATTTGTCACTGAAAATAAACCTCTTTATAGTTTTCCTGGTGTTTAAAATTATTGTAGAAATATAACTAGTAAAAATGTGTTGTTGTGTAGATTTCTTAAATGTGGATCCATAAAAAACAAATTGAACCAGTGCTAAATATTTCTTAATAGCTGGATGGAGAAACAGGCTAAGAAGCCCTATAGAAACACATTATTGTATGGCGCCCTCTTGTGGTTGTGACTGTCAACAATCGCACTTTATCTCCTTCATCTCACTTAGCAGTAGATTTGTTTCAAAATAAATAAATCTAAAGAAAAAAGAACCTGGTTAACAATGGTTGCAGTCTTGAGAGTCATGTGAAACAGCAGCAGTGATATGAAGATATTTGACTTTTTTCCCTTTCAGGAATCATCAACAGCCAAAGCAATTGTTCATGAGTCAGCTGCCTCTCAGTGAGGACATTCAGGGCTTTTCTGTGAATTGCGCAGTATATGATGAATGACCAGAGGGTCAGATGTTTTTGAAGAATGTAGAAAGTGAAGAAGATGTATAGATTATATATATTTTTTTCTTTTTCTTTGTTGTTGATGGTTGGAAAATGTATTAATTTTTTTCCCCATTATGCACCGCATGCCTAACTAAAAATCTGAAGGGATAAAAATACATCTTAAGGCCCTTTAAATGCTTTTACATATAGTTTTGTAGTCCTTTTCATGTCAGATAAATGCCACTGAGGGAAAAAGGGAACATATCCAATCCCATTTTATTTGTTAAGCGCTTAAAAACAACCACAGCTGGTCAAAGTGCTGTACAGAAAAAATAAATAAATAAATAAATAAATAACAAATCTATCAACAAATTAAAAATAAAAAGTACAGATACATAAAACAACTAAAGCATGGGTAAAAATACATTCAAACAATAAGATCAATACAATTGGGTAAAAGATCAAAGGAATAACAAATAAAAATATATATTTTTTTAAATAAAATAAAGCCCACTATCTTGCTAGATGTTAAAAGCCAAAGAGAAAAGGTGGGTTTTGACAAGAGATTTAAAAACAGTCAGAGAAGAGACCAGTCTGATGTGATGAGAAGGGCTCTCCCAGGAGCCTAATATTACTTGGATCCCCTAAAAATATTTGGATTGATTGCAGATATAAAATATTCCTGTTCTGGTGAGTTCAGGCTACTCTCAGGGTGAGTGCCTTACTTATGAGTTAAGCTTGAGGCCTATTATTGCATGTGACTGAGACAGAGGAGGTGGAGTTAGGGCTCTGGAATTTAACTGAAAAATTCAACCCACCTTCACAGTTGTGGTTTAATATCCGTGCGCCTGTTTCACTTCCTAAAAGAAAGAAATTAGCAGCTGAGATGTGTGGGATAAGGCTTCTTATTTTCATGATGTCTTTGGCCCCCACCTATCAACAATTTCCTCGCCTGTGTGCAACTCAAGAAGCCCTGCAAACCAAGGAGTGCTGCCCAGCCTGGGACGGAGATGGCTCAGCTTGTGGAGCAAGATCAGGCAGGGGTTCCTGTGAAAATGTAGAGATCTCAGAGCAGCCTGATGGACCGCAGTACCCCTTCTCAGGGCTGGATGATCGGGAAAAGTGGCCCTTGGTTTTCTACAACCGGACTTGTCGTTGTGCAGGAAACTTTATGGGGTTCAACTGTGGGGACTGTAAGTTTGGCTACTTTGGGGAAAATTGCAATGAAAGAAGGGAGTCCCTGAGGAGGAACATATTCCACCTGACCAGAGCTGAGAGAAACAGACTCCTTTCCTACCTGAACCTTGCCAAGCAGACAGTCAGCAGAGACTATGTTGTTGCAACAGGGACATACAGAGAGATGAATAACGGCTCCAACCCAATATTTGAAGATGTATCTGTGTATGATGTGTTTGTCTGGATGCATTACTATGTGTCCCGCAATGCACTGTTAGGTGGGCCGAGGAATGTATGGACAGATGTGGACTTTGCACACTGGGCCCCTGCTTTCCTACCATGGCACCGTGTCTACTTACTTCACTGGGAGCATGAAATTAGGAAGTTGACTGGAGACACAAATTTCTCCATTCCTTACTGGGACTGGAGGGATGCTCAGAGCTGTGATGTGTGCACTGATGAGCTGATGGGCTCCCAGAGCCCTCAGGACCCCAATCTAATCAGCCCAAGGTCAATCTTCTCCTCTTGGAAGGTAAAAAAGCTTTTTTTCTTAAATTAACCTTGATTTCTTTTTTGTTTTGTTTTCACTATTTTTCATTTATCCTTTATGGATGAGAAATTAGCTAAAATGCTAGCTGAAATTTTTGTCATTAAATTCTGCTGTTTTTGTTTGATTTACCCTATATAAAAATATGTAAAAACCTATTTGTCAAAAATTACCCAGTTTAAGAAAAACAATCTACCTCTAACAGGTTTTTGTTTTGCCTTCTTTTAATATAACTGACTAATTAAGAAAAAAAAAAACTTTTCAATTCAGTTTATTTCAATTCAGTTTAGCACCAATTCACAACACATGTCATCTCAAAGCACTTTACAGTTCACCAGATCATACAGTCAAATTGATTCAAAGTTTTCTATCTAAGGAAAACCAGTTGATTGCATCGACTCATTGACTCGAAGGCAATCCTTCACACTAAGCATGCTTGTAGCGACAGTGGTGAGGAAAAACTCCCTTTTAACAGGAAGAAACCTCCAGCAGAACCAGAACCTGAACCTTTTATGTAATATCTTTGTAATTACAAGCTGAGCAGAGAAAAAAGCCATCATAGCTATTTAAAATAATAAATATTAAAATCCTAAATTAACTGTGATTTACTTTTTTATTTATTGTCTGAACTGTAAAACTAATAGGTCTCCTAAAAGGAAACTGCTACAATATAAAATAAGCACATTATGTCCTTCTCTAAAAAACTCAAAACTGATGATTAACAAAAAAAATTGTTTCAATCAAGATGTTCTAACAACTGCTGGTCAGTGCACAATGTTAGATTTGGTATAAGTTAACAGTATTTTAGAAAAAGAATATTACAGAGAAGTTGCTGCTGCTATAGTATCTACAACCAGTCATTAAGTTTTGGGGGCAAATACTTTTTCCATCAATACTTTGGACTTTAAACTTTAACACTTTAGAATAGAATAGAATTTAACTCAGAAGTAAAAAGCAACAAAATGAACTCTCTGCCATTGTGTGGTGCCCAGAGAGTAGTGTGGGGTTAAGGGTCTTTGCTCAGGGACCCAGAGTGGCCGTCTGTGGGAGTGGGGCTTACTGTATACTCAGAACCTCTGGATTCCAAGTGCAATGCCCTAACCACTGGTAAATTGAGTCACATACATCTATGAAAATAAAATGTTGATTTTATATTTGATATTGATGGTTTCCCAAAGACGCATTTACAAAATTATCCTGCAACCACAGATTAGGGTTTGTGTTCTTTACAATAAGTGTGATTTAATTTGAGCTTTATGTGCTATTCAACAACAGGTGCTGTGCTCCCAGGCTGAGCAGTACAATATCCAGGGAGTTCTGTGCGATGCTAAAAATGAAGGTCCACTGCGCCGGAATCCTGGAAACCATAATACAAATCTAGTGGAAAGATTACCAACTTCTGCAGAAGTGGAGTTCACTGTCAGTCTCCCCAATTATGACACAGGAGCAATGGACCGCACTGCCAACATGAGCTTCAGGAACACCCTGGAAGGTCAGCTGCAGGATACAAACAGACACGACCCACACTTTTTATCTAAATATAATTCCATTGTACTAAAGTGTGTAATTCCAGTGTACTAAACTGGAATTACAATCCAATTGTAATGTTTCCAATCATTCTAAGTGGTTAAACACAATTTTTATTACATTGGAAGGAGGTGTTTCACATATCTAAAGATGTTAAACATTTGAGCACAAACTAATGTTCCTGCTGTCCTGAATGGAATCAATAGCTTAGAGTACTTCATTCTGGATAGGGCAAAGAGGTGCTTCAAAATTAGAATTAAGAATTCAACTTTTTTATCATTAGATTTTCACAAGTGAAAGGCAACAAATTGAACTCTTTGCATTTAACCCATCCCTTTGGAGAGCAGAGGGCTGCTGTTGTGCGACACCCAGGGAGCAGTGTGTGGCAGTCCGTGGGAGTGGGGCTTGAACTCAGGACCTTTGGGACAAAAGCGCAATGCCCTAACCACAAGGTCACCACTCACCTATGAGGAAAAAGTTGTTCATTCTTTTCTTTTTTTCCTAACAGTGTCCTGTCTGGCAATATGGCTTTAGAATAATTGTCTTGATGCCAAAAAGAGAGCCCAACAGATTTTGCTTTCACAAGTGGAGCAGTACAGCTTTTGCCATAGTGTTCCACAGATTTGACAGAAAAATACAGATTTTATGGACACTACAATGTAAGTAGAACAGTAACAGAAAAAAAGGAGAGAAGATAAAAGAAAGACGAGATAAAAGGGAGATAACGATAAAACATCTTCAGTCTGCTTCATCACCTGCAAAGAGTGATGAAGCAGACTGAAGCAGACTGATGAAGAGTGAGAGTAAAAAGAACAACAGAATTAACAGATATAGTATAAGAGATACGATAAAGGAACACTTTGATACTATCGCTGAGGTATAAGCAGAATTATTTAATCTGACATGTATACTGTGGTAGCTGGAGATAAAAATATGGGCTTTCTGTATGGAAGTGAACCTCTAAGTACCTGGAGCCAAGCACCTGGTACTTCTAAAGTTTATCCAAAGGAAAAATGCTCAATAGTGGTTTTGAAGAGCCACTCCTCCAGAGCACCGCGGCAAGCGCCGGGGGGACCCAAAGCCCCAGATGTCCAAGAAGATCCCAGAGCAAAAGAGGGGCCAACCCAGGAAATAAACCAGTACCCACCATCAAACACCGAGCACCTCCAGTGCGCCCAGTGAGCCCAAACACCAGCCAGCAGAGGGGGGCAGGATGGGGGGAATGGGCTCCGCATTTACCAGAGACTTGAGATGTTCTGGGAGAGGGAGCAGTTCAGACCCAGACCTGACCAGTAAATAAAACAAAACAAAAAAAATTATGCACAGTCTCAATTAAGCCTCCCCACCCTAGTGCCCCCACTCTCAACACACAGTCTCTGTGAAAAAAAAAAACAACAACACGGAGACACATTCACACATAACACTCACATCCAATAATCCCAGGACTGAAGACCCGGGATTACCAGATGACCCAGTAGGTGAACCTGAAATCCAGATGGGGGGGAGGGGAGCGGTGTCACCACCACACTAACCCATCTAGTTCCAGCTTCGGACCAACCACTTTCCGATTGCAAGATCACTTCGCTTCTCACTGAGCCCTAATCCACCATTATCCTGGAGTGTCTGGCATTATGACTGAAAGGGTAAAGGTTACGCTTGTGACCCTAACACACAAGCTGCCCACATGAGTGTTGAGAAATCATGTGACCCTACCGATGATCATGTTGTGGAATTAGAAATACTTGTGCACAACTGTGCTTCAGAGCCAAAGAACAAATAGTTCTGGACCAGCGATGCCACTAGGATTTAAAGTTAAGAGGGTTTTAGCCCAAAAGGCTGAAAATAAAACATATAAACATCTAAGTTTTGTTTCAAGATCTTGCCAGACATGTTCAATTTGTCTATTTAATGTATTGCTGTAAAGCACTTATAAGAATCTGATATCTGATCCTATGTCTCACCAAGTGCTCTCTGCAAAAACAGTGGGACAAAAATTTGACAAAATGACTTATTTATTATGAAACTACAGGATAAGATTGATAGGTTTAAATAAAAATCAGGTTATTGCACATGAAGGTTGTTTAACAAGAAGTTGAATCAGTTGGTCAACAGTTAAGATTATTTTTAAATAACTTGAGGACATTGTTAAGATCTGGTACTATCTCCTGATTTGTAAAATAGTAAAAATAAAAAAAAAGGGCGTGCTTAGATTTTACTGTTTCTATTGACTTCTATATGAGATCCTACTTATTGACTCAGTAACGGCAACCATATTTAGACAGTATTCTCTGACAGTGATGCAAAAGATCATGCTTATTCTTCCAAGGCCAAATATTCTTTTTCTTTTTAGCATCATTATACATACTGAAATTGAGGGCCTATGCTGTAATTGAACAGTTTTCTTAATTATAAAACTTTTTAGGGCTATTACCGGTATTACCAAAGTTTAAATAAATCACTTGATGGTTTCTCAGGTGCTAAGTACTTGCCAGTGGTTTAATGGTGTACTGTTAAAACCAGCAGTGTAGAGGCTTTTTATGAAATTTCTTACTGTCCTTGAAATCAGAAGTTGACCTAAATCTAGTTTACTGTACCTTCTAGACATATCAAAAATCACACATGATAATGTTATGGCTTTGTTCATTTTTGATTGACAGCATTTGAGTTTATTGGATGTGCAGCTTATTAAGTAGTTCATTTTTTTTAACACATCAAATGTCTGTTCCTTGGTTTAACATAATTGGAAAATCAAAAGAACTCAGTCAAGCAATAATAATAATAATCCTGTACAGTATCAATTTTTGCATAAGGCCAATGAGAGAGGGGGACGCTACTACTTCAAAATCAACATGACGAGACCAAATATAGTTTGCAAATGCCCTCTGAGACAAATATATTCATCTCGAGAGATTGTTCTCCCTTTAAATATTATTTTTATTAATTTTAAAACTTAGATTAAAGAGTTTGGCTATAATGACCATTGTTAGGGTAGGATGAAAGACAGGGAAGCTTGCAAGCCTGAAAACACCTTCCTAACTTTGAAGTACAGGATAGGCTGCATCATGGTAGGGGGAGTTCCTCTTCAGGATGGAATGGAAGGGGAAATAACATTAGGAGTAAAAATTTTATAAACCGGACATAAGCTAGGTAGCTGTTTCTAGACATGAATAAGTGTTCTAAAAAATAATAGCCAAATGCATGGCACCAAAAAGGCAATGCTGTTTCTTTTTGTTGTGTTTCAAAACATATGGTTTAAATAATAAGTATTTTAATTTTTATTCAGTTTTTTAATTCAAACCACTTTTACCAAACCAGAATGACACAAGCAGTGGAATGCCCAGACATTTTGAAGGGCAGGGGCGGAGAAAAATGGCACATACTGTACAGCACATCCTCACCACATTAGAGGGCACTTTGGCAAGCGTTTCGGCTGTCAAGGCGTTCTGCCCTCCCCTTTGTACGGCCCTCAGGAGTGTTTTAAAATAAATAAACCATATTTGGTGACAAGGCAAGACAAAAGTTTCAGTTTTCTAAATGTCTGTGCTAGTCATGCTTAGCCACTCCTTTGCTTGCAGGTTTTGGGGACCCTCAGACTGGGTTGGGAGGCAGTTCCCGTTTGGGCATGCATGCTGCCCTACATGTGTTTATGAATGGATCGATGTCGTCTGTGCAGGGCTCTGCAAATGACCCCATATTTCTGCTTCATCATGCTTTTGTCGACAGGTAAGCAATGCATCCATACATCTTAAAATTAAGACTACTGCACATATTGTACATTTGGCTACATATGCTGTACATAATAGTAGCTACATATGCTTTCTTTTTCTTTTAAAGTATCTATGAACAGTGGCTAAGGAGACACAGACCATCTCCATCTCAGTATCCAGAGTCTAATGCTCCCATAGGGCACAATGGTGATTACCACATGGCTCCATTTATTCCCCTGCACAGAAACAAAGAGTACTTTATTTCCAGCAAAGACCTTGGATATGAGTACTCCTATTTGTTGGATGCCAGTAAGTTCCTTCCAGATTCTTTTCTTTTCTTTTTTTTATTAAAATGTCATTTTAATTTGGACTCAAAATATTTTGCAATACAGAATAGAAGACATTTCCATTTAAAAATGCACACTGCAATACAAAAGCATTTAAACCTCTCTAGTTGTTCACACTTTGTCATGTTCCAACCTCTAAACTTCCAGGTATTTTATCAGAATCGTTGGCATTGATTGCTTATTTAGAATTTCTTAAAAAAATAATTCTAAAGCTTGTAACAAGCTTTCACCATTTTCTCTCATGCCTAGAAATAAAAGCCTTGACAAAAACTATTTGCAGTCAAATATGTAATCTGTGTAGTTTCATCTTAGTCGATGCATCAGAGTTTTTGTACAGCAACCTTTAACTTGCAAAAACTATGAAGTAGTTTATGTCGAGGTTAAGGTTCTAGAATGGTCCAGTGAAAGTCAGAAACTTACAAGAGTTTCTATATTACTGTAACAGAGAAGGAAGGAACCTTCAACAGAACCAGGGTCAGTGTGTACAACCTTCAGCAACAACTTGAGTGAGAAAACAAAAATAAAAACAGCATTTTGCAAAGAAAATCAGCTCCACAGACAAGTTCTTAGCCCATTTTTACTTCTGGAGATGACAGAAAGAAGAGATAAGCCTATAAAAGCTAGATATAGCTGTCAAAGAGAAAGACAGCATTAACTACTGAAAGAGAAGGCCAATGCATCTGCATCTGAGATCATCAAATTCTAGTCCCTAGCTCCTGTTCCTAGATCCTGTTTGTTTGCCTTTCATGGTATCAATAGTAAGAACTCTGTAATGTTGTGGAAAGGAAGCCCAGGCCACTGTGCTGATTCCATACAGCCTTTAGCCTTTTGGACCTCATTACAATAAGTCAATGCATACAGTAGATGATGTTAGGGAAATCACGACTACTGCTTTACAAAAAAATAGCTACAAAAAACACATGTTACACAAAAGTCAGCTGAAGCAATCCATTACAATCAGTAAAAAGTACAGCATAGTGCAGATTTGTCAATTAATAGACACAAAAATATTGAAACCTACAGTGACACAGTGGGTAGCACTGCTGCTGTGTAGCAAGAAGGTTTTGGGTTCAATTCCCAGTCTGGGGTCTTTTTCCATAGTGTTTGCATGTTGTCCCTGTGCAAACCAAAACATATAAAGATGCATAAATTTGCTTGTGTCACATACACACATGGTACACATGAAGCAAAAATGTATTTTGTTCATTTTAGTCAGGTGGTCTGTGCTTATATACATCTTATCACGCAAAGGATTGTGGGAATCCCTACAGCTCCTGATCACCAATGAGGGACATCCTGAGCTCTCTATGCCAAAGGATCTATGATAGGAAGCATGTAGGCTCCTTTCCTACCTCCTTCCTTCCTTACTACCGTTGCATTTCAGACAGCACTTCTTGCAGCAATCTAAGACACACATCCGCTTTGACTAAAGAGTTATCATCAATTTTATGATTTCAGATGCAGCCCAAGTGTATTGTTTGCTTAAGTTGAACATTAAACTGTTATCAGCAACTCGGCCTATAAAAGTTTTTAAATACGTTGGTTATTATACATCAAAAGGTAGAATAGTTCAAGGGAATGCTATGAATGCACATTCAGACAGCAGTCAGTAGACCTTTTCTAAACATCCAATGTTAGAAAATATGCAAAGCATTGTTTCAACTATCCAACAGGTTATTAAAAATGATTTGAAGTCTCATTCAAATACACGTTGCTGATTTTGCTCCATCCTTCTTGCAGATCAAAGGCTTGCAGAATCCATGCGCCCATACCTGGATGAATTGCAGAATGTGTGGCCTTGGCTGGTGCTTGCTGGACTCTTTGGAGGGTTTGTGACTGTGTCCATTGGAGCTGTTTTCCTAATCGCTAAACGTCGATACAAAGCCTGGCCCCATAGGAAGAACTGGAAAAATGCCTTTGCCCTGCCAGAGAAGCAGCCACTTATCTGGAGCAATGAATCAGAAACTAACCGCAATAACTACCAAACAACTATGTGATCATTTGAAAATATATGAGACAATCATCTGTTTGTAAAGGTGCATCTTAAGTATTTAAATATGTATTGCATGTAACACACTTTTAAAAGGTATTTAATCTTAGTGAATTTTGTCTTATTCTTCCTAAACATCACCTTTGATTACTTTTCTCTCTCTACAGAAAATTTCCCCAATTTCTTTTATCATTTTATATTTTAATTCACTTTTAATTTAGTTTCAGCCCAGAAAACTAAGTGATGCACTCCAGTTCTTGAAATCAAGCTATGTTTTTAGCAAATAAATTTTTTTTGTTACCAAGTTATTTGTTTTACTCTCCTCTGCTCTGGAGAAAATATGGGCATCCATTGCCATTTCCTTTTAAGCGTCTTCAAAGGTTTCTTGACTTTCCGCTGTTCTTCCTTTGTAATTTAATTTAGGGGAAAATCATGGTAAACAAAATGATTTGCTTTACCATCCTCTTCTCTGGAAAAATGATCTCTGCCCTTTAGCATTTTATCTAAAATGGCATCATGTTCTTCAACGTCATGTCAGTTTGAGCATCTTCAAAAACTGATGACACTAGCCTTTTCACAAAACTTATTTAAAATTCCAAAATAACAGCCTCACATTTCCATAGGAACCATAAAACCATTAAGCTGACACGAGGGATAGGGTGTGTTTTAAGAATCGTTAACAACTTTTTTTTTTTTAAAACAAACAACACTTAGCTTTGAATTTACGGAAAAAAACTTTATTTTTGTAGAGGGTTGAATAACCTTGTTTCTAAATGATCCTCTTATGATGGTCGCATCAAGTCATATAAACTTCATATATATTAAGCATAGACACATGCTGTCTAGTGTCTTATTTCACTACAGTACTTTGCTCAAAATACTTAGTATCCATTTGGCAGAATGAAATATTACAGTATATTCCCATCAAAAGGGCAGCCTGTTTTTTAGTTACAAGAATTATAGTCACTCAAAGCAAATTGTGTATGAAAACAAATGCAGAACATATTGTAAAAAAATCAAGAGTGGAGCAAACCTTTTATTCTACTGTAAAAAAAAAACAAAAAAAAAAACCCCAAAAAACAGGGCAAACCAGATGAACTATTACTTTTGAAGTTTATCAAATAAGTTCCATTTTATACACTTGATTCAAACCTAGAACATTGTATCACACAGACAAGAGTGTAAATCCACAAGGACAGTGTAAAAACAAACAAATTAATAATTCATCTGGTAACTAAAACTCAAGGATGGAATGAGAAAATATTACACCGCTGGAATCATAGGGCTTCCAATGTCTTAATTATGAAATGTACAGGTGGAATCATCTTTTACCAAACATGGAAGAAAGATGGTCACAGCTGCGTTCTTTTATGTAAGCAGTCAAGGTCTGACACTAAACATGGTGCTGACCGTCCCTCATTTCACTTTTATCAAGTGGTTTAACAGATAACTTCAGTGCAAATACCCAGGTGAGCTATCTCACTTGACTAAAGTCTACATTTATCAATGTTAAAATTGTTGTGAAACATACTTGCTTAGCACTCAAGCTTTTAAGGAACTCCAATATTTGGAAAAAGAAAGGCAGAGATAATTCTGAAAAAGATTGATACAGGAAAATAACAATGGATATCTGAGAAATAACGCAGTAACCTCAAAAGAGTCAATTCTTTAAGAGGTAAATAATTTAATTGTCTGACTAAGGTATTGTGAACAAATCGTCATTCGTCTTCATCCTCATCATCGCTATCAGCCTCTTCTTTCTTCTGATCATTGTCTTTGGGTGGGGGCACAGGAGGCGGAAGGTCCAGGCGAGCCCAGGACATCGGCTCGGCCTTCTTCATGGCTACTTCTATCTTGGCTGCCATCATGTTTACTACGCTCTTGGTCACATCTATCACCTAGAAAGTGCGACAAAGAGAGCAACTTGTTAAACAAGAAGTAAAAGGGTTGATATAAACACTTATCTTTTAAGAGAAGACAAGAAGAAAATGTCACGTAATTTAGACCTATTCAAATTCAGCAGCAGTTCATTTAATGATCAACCAAAACGAAAATGAAACATGTTGGCAGGGTCCATTAGTAATGAAAAAAGACAACTAAAACTCATACCAAGCACATAAAATTAGGTTAATTTGAAACAAATGTTTGTTTACAAAGACAACTGATCAATGTGAATACCGGTAAGCCTTTTATTTTTCAGAAATTATGTTCCACAGAAGTGGGCAAAATAAGCAGGGAATTATTTGTATTAATTGAAGATAATTTCTCTTGGCATAAAAAAAGATGACCTACATTAGAAAAAATAAGAATTGAATGCATCAATAAATTTCTCTTTCTATGCAAAAATATCTTCAAATGTGCCACTGCAAAAAAAAAAAAAAAAAAAATCTAACCAGATTTTTAACAGTCCACACATGTTGAGCTGTTAATACAAAACACTGCGTACACTAGAAGGATAATGGTAGCTTTGTTTAGGTCTTTCACTTGGTTTGGAAAAAGTAAGAAATCTGTAGTTCATTTTTATTGCCTACAAAAAAAAAAAAAAAGATGAATTCAAAGTGTGTTTGATAAGGTGCAGTCAATAAAAATAAAAACTAGTACAGCCCTTAGACTTCTTGTATTTCACATCACCTATAATTTTTGAGGAATACTTTCCTTCTAATATTTTTTTTTAAACAGAGCATTTATTAAATGCTGAAAAAAGTTTTTAGAAAATAAGATGGGTGGATGAAACTGTAAAACATTTATACATTCAATCAATGTATAAATGAAAAAAGATGCACACATGGGTCTTAAACTTATGGTGATGGTGCTTACCTTTTCAATTTTGGCAACAAACCACCACAAGCTGTTACAGTTTGTGAAGCTTGGCTAACTGATGAGGATATTCAATTAACAGCCCTGATATAACCCTCCCCTGATGTGCACGTGCACAGAAGCTGGATGTGCAACACCGCATTTGCCCTTACACCAATCATAGCTTTGCAAATAAGTAACAGTTTTTTGCTGAGTAAAATTAAATTTCTTGGTATTCTATAAACCATCTGAGTAAATGGTAAATGGCCTGTTCCTGTAAACCACTTTGGTCAAGTCAGGAGACTTGACCAAAGTGGTTTACACTACATTCAGTCATCCAACTATTCACAGAAACTTTCACACACTGATGGTGGCAAACTACATTATAGCCATAACCGCCCTGAGGCTTCACAATGCAGGTGAAGTGTCTTTCCCGAAGGACACAACGACATTGAAAGCGGGAGCCGGGGCTTGAACCGCCAATCCTGGGATTTAAGGGTTAACTCCAACCTCCAACTGTCGCTTTTTGATTCAGTGTAACTGAGTCAAAAAGAACAAGTAAAGTTTGACAGGCCTAAGCCTAACATACTCCTTGGACAAGTCTACATGGATTTAAAATGGGAGTTTGTGTAAGCCAAACACTGCTTGAGTCAAGCAGTATTAACAAAACTGTTTGATTTACAAATAAACCAATTATCTTTATGCAAAATGCTGACAGGGCAAAAGGAGAAATACATTGGCAGGACATATTTACATCCATATACATTAGGGGGGGTCTTGGTCAGCCTTGATTTATGGTAAAACTGTGCAAGGACTCCCTACCATGTATGTACTGGGGGACTGAGGATTTAAATCTTGCAACCCTTCCCCTTTCCTCCATACTGAAGACCTCTAATCTACACATTTGAATGGAAGTGTGTTAAGGAAGGAGTTTAGTATCTTCTAAGCTCAAATTCCACATATATTGGAACATAATTGGGAAAAAAATGTGCTTGGATTAATCCCCAATAGAGGCCTTTAAACATATGGGCTTTGGCTTTTAGATGATCTCTAAAATGAAGCTTTAGTGAAAATTCAATCTGATCGACTCTCATCAGCTTCACCTGAACCACCTATGATGTCCCTCATCCAGCTTCAGCCAATCATCCTAGGACCACACCTCCTCTGAAGCCAATCATCTTTCAAGGTCCCCCTCATTGCGTCTGGCCAGGTTCTCTCCCAAAAGTCAGTGAACTTCCAACCACCTGCTCCCTCACTCTCATACTCAGTCCCACTCGTTCTCTGGCTTATTCCATCACCAGTGTCTGTGCCACGGGGGGAGACTACTCTAATCCTTTTCTTGGTCACTCATTTAAGCGAATGTCTCAGTCTTCTGGCAGGGCCCGAGCACTAAAAAACGCATTTCATTTATGTCAATGTATGCATGTCTGCTTCTGTCTCCTTGGACCCGAGTCTGCCTCGGCAGATGGCTGCTCACACTGAGCCTGGTTCTTCTGGAGATTTCTTCCCCACTGCCACTACATGCATGCTCAGTGTGAGGGATTGCAGAGAGTTAATGAATCCTCAAAATCAGCTGGTTTTCCTTAGATAGAAAAAAATCTGACCAATCTCCTGGGATACCTATATAAATACATTGAATTAAATAACACTTTTCTATTTTTTTTTTCTCTGTGAGTCTCTCCAAGTTGAAATAAGTGTATGCTTTGGTATCAGCAGCAAATCCGTGCAAGTCCACAGATATTTAATAAATTGCAAACTACTTAGATTTAAATCGAAGCCATGGTGTTTGCTGTCAGTCTTAGAAAAGGATCTATATACAGCATACAATATAAAAAGATCAACACTTTTAAGGCACTATGCAACATGGATTTTAGATTTAAGCCTGTGGATATCCGATCTAACAAGATGTGTGCTTAGGACAATAAAAATGTACTTACTCCCCACAAGCTGATTTTCTGCTGAAATTCCTTCTCACCATCAAATATAATATGGATGTTGAGCTAAAAGATAAAAGATCAAATTAAAATTAGAATCCCTAAAAACTCAAAGCAGTTCAGAGAATTACAGAAAATGTCTCACCGTGGTGCTGTTAGCATCAACATAGCTGAGCTCAGGGACGGCACTTTTGGCATATATAGAAATGATGACCTGTGCCCCGGTCTGGTGCCAGTCAAACCGACAGGGGACCACCTTCTTTCCCTGCAAAGAGATTCCAATTAAAGCACAGCAAATGAATCATCTCATCCATCTCTATTGCAGAGCAATGATTTCACTGTGAAACTGCTTTTCAGATACCACTAGATGGAGTTCCAGCCAAGGCTCCTTATAGACTCAAACCACAGAATGATCAATCGCTGTCAAGCTGCTCCACCTACCGCATCTTTTTTCTTCCATAGATGTGCTCCCTTTGTGCAGCCCTCCTGAGACAGGAAGGTGTTAAAGTCAGAGGTTTTCCTTTTACAGCAGCTCCAGTATTTCATCCTGGAGAGGCGAAAGAGAAACCTTCATTATTTAACAGTCGCCACAGGATACGTTTTGATAAATGTCAAAAAATCAAAATATAGGTGTAAGGAGAATGTTACATTTTATGAGCAGCAAAATATATATATTAGCACTAATACTAACCCTTCATGGAAGATGGGAAATCCGGAGTGGTATGCACACACATCCGAATCACTTGAAGGTCCCTCAAAAGTCTAAAGATAAAAACAAAAATGAAATAAAACAACAACAAAGGACAGCATCATCCCTTTCTTAATCTTAGTCTGCATACGCATTGCAATTATACTAAACTCTGCTACTAATACATTCTAACCTGTCATAGAATCTGCCTTTTTATATGGCTTCATTTTGCTCCCTGTAGATAAAAGCATATGATGCAGAAGCACAACGTCAACTCTACTGCATGATAGCATCAGAGGAACTTCTGACTATCTGGTAATGAGAGACATCCAGTGATGCTACAGCTTGTCATGTCAGAATTCTAAACTTTTCCAGGCTCAACTTATTATTATTTCTTAGTTCTCTTTAGTCAATCAACAGACTCCAAGACATGGCTTTTGCTGAAAGAACTCACTGAAAACAGTAATAAAGCCAAAACAGTACAAAATGTATACATTATCATTAGGGCTGAAGCAATTAATCAAATTAATCGTGATTGTTTATTGAAATAATCGTCAACTATTTAGTAATCAATTACTGAATGAATTAACTGGAGTGTAGTGTAAAACATGCCTTTAGCTGACAGAGCAACAGACCTTGAGTAGCAATTATACTAAAATTCTAAATTAAATTGAAAGATTTTGCATTAAAGATAAAAACAAATTCATCTGTGAATATGCTCTATCCAGAGCTCCTCAAGTGGAAAAGCTTTACTTTCACTTGGTTTAATTTGGCAAAAGTCTTCTTTAAGGAACCTTTCACTATCTGATTATTAATCAATTAATCGAAAAAAAAAAAAATAAAAGATTGATTTATTTGCAAAAAAAAATGGTTAGTTGAAGCCCTAATTTTAATATTCAAGAAGAAGAAAACTTTTTTTTTTTTTTACCCATTTGCTACTTCCAATTAATCTATGTACATTTAACCAAGCACCTTAAGTAGAACCTCTAATTTCATTGCACTACCTGTGTCAGTAAGCTCTATTATACTCTATGCTAGATTATGCATGATATCTGGAGGTCAGAGTGGATACAAAACAAATAATAAAAAAAACAGACTAATTTAGATTCACACAGAACACTTGTTTGTTACAGCTTAGAAGCAAGCAGCCGATGAGAGTAGGTATACAAAATCAGTTTAAATATAATTATGTAAATCAGACGGAATGAGCTACCAAAGATGTCAATGTAAATTTTCCTCAAAATTCCTGTTTTGATGTTGGGTTTTTTTTGCTCTGACAAGGCTGATTAGCTTGAATGGGAAACTTTGCTTTGCATCCGCCCTGCAGAAAATGGAGGGCAAATTTCCACAGAGTAAAAAGGGGTTGGAGGGCGGCGCCTTGTCAGACAATAAGATCATGATTTCTTTGGTCATATTTACACTTGAGCATATGCTTTCTTATCAGAGAGAATTCAACATTTAACTGTGATTTCCCAGGAGGAGCAGTGCATGAAATAAATGATAAAACTGTGAAACATTAAAAGACAGACGATTTACTTACTTTGGTGCATCCTCCATTTTTACACGATGTCCCTATTTTGATCTCATCGCTGTCTTCCTCTGGAAAGAGAAACATCCAGGGAAGAAAATGACAAGATTTAAAAAATGTATTATTAGTTTTGATGTGCTGCCCTCTAACTGTCATCTTTAACTCGAATATCATAATGTGAATGACACAGATGATGGCAAATTCCCAGTGGTCATCCATTAAGCTCTACTTTTAACATGACCTTCACAACCGCCGTGACAAGCACTATACGGATGGTCTGGTAAGAAGTAGATGATGAAAACATATTTGGTAACGATAGGATAAGAGATGAAATGAAATGATTCCTACCTTTTTCCTCTGTTGTATTTTCAGATACTTTCAATTTCTCTAGCGCCTGCTTTAAAGAGGCGGAAACTTTTTGCTGCACTCTCACCATCGGCTCATCAGGACTGTAAGAAAAACAAATATCACAGGAAAAAAAAAAACATCAGGCTTTTAGAAGGCTTAAAGAAATCACCATGGTGCTATTAAGCCATGATAGTTTCATCATTATTCCCTTGCTGCTTCAAAGACTGAAAAACCTTGTATTACTAAGGTTAGGAACTAAATAAGTAAAATTCACAATGAAGCACAGTCTGCAGATCTAAAAGCATACATATTCAGCACAATGTCCCAATGCTACACTGAATGCAAAAACCGTAGCTCTGCCCTGTTTTCCTCTGCTCAAATATTAAATAACCAACACCGCCCATTTAAACTTTTACAAGATGTGTTTTTTTAGCACAGGTCAGATATGTATACTTTTTTTCACTAACTGAGAAAAAAAAAAAAAAAAACTATTGTAGAAAGTGACCTTGGTCTGTTTATCGCCTCCTGGGGTTTCGGTGCAGAGATGATGTACTCATTAAACTTTGGTTTTTGGGCTTCCAACTCCTTCTTTTCTCCTGATGTTTTCACATCTGGTTTTACCGGCTCAGGGGGCTTCTCTTTGTTGTGGGGACCCTTTGTGCAGCCCTGTGAGAAAAAAAGTCACTGTGTTGAAATCTTATACCGTACGTGCTTTAAGGCCACAAAAAAAAAAAAAAAAGAAAAACTGGCAGTCAATATCGAAGAAAACAACAAGACAATGGAGACACCTCTGGAATAGAGTAAAAATGGATGACTAGAAAGGAAAGCTTACAGCGATGCTAAGGAAGTCAGAGAAGTCAGTGGTTCTTCTCTTGCAGCAGGACCATCCCTGAAAATAATCAAAACATAATTAGATCACAATTTTTGAACAAAGCTATCAGCGCAGTTCATAGAATCATACCTTTAAAGCGTCATGGAACACAGGGACTCCTGGGTGGTAGGTACAACCATCTGACAAAAAAAATAAATAAATACCTTATTAACACGATAAAAGCTAACAATGGAAAAAGAATATGGTAACGCTAAATAAAGATCTTCACAGCAGTACCGCAGTATCTGGGTAACAAATCATTACGGTATACCGAAAAAAGTTTTTTACACCAACATATGCAAGACATTGCAGATTCTAAGCTGCGTGTTATTACCAAACACCCAACTTCTTCTCAGAATTGTACAATTTTTTCAATAAAAATGACAATGAAAGTTGTCTAAAGTCATTTCGTTGATCTATACTTGAGAATGTAATGACAATAAAAAGCTGGAATAAATAAACAAAGCCCAGTGACTATAAAGATTAGGGTCTCACCAAGTACATACTTTCCTGTGTTCTTCTCAAGAAAATACTTGGCGAGAACAATGTTTCTGGGTACGTTTTCTCTCCTTAACTGGGAATCAACACCATTATTTAACACCAAAGGCCTCAACATACTCCAAAAGAAGCAAGAAATTTGTTCCAAAAAAGTTAGGGCGCATTAGGTAGAGCCGACGTGTTTTACATGCGCTAGTTTTGGCAAACAATTAGCATTATAGTTCTTTGTGAAATAAACATAACTTTACAAGGAAAATAAGATTATATTGTGTCCCACTACACTACATACTGACATGCAGGCTGTGGGGCTCATAATTTCAGAAGTAAATGTTTTCATTAAACTATTTTTTAAAGGCTCCGACACATGTATTTAGTTGTAATCCTGTTTGGATGTTTTAAAATCTGCAGCATTGCTACTTAAATGTAGTTTAGTCCGTCTTTTTTTTGGTTTTTATATTCTGGCTAATATATATCGGATATTGGTTTTTAAAGGCTCCAATATCGATCAAAATATCGCTTTCAAAATCCCATATCGGTCAGGCACTACCCAGAATATCATCAATGTAAATGTGCCATACTGTGCAAACTACAGACATAAGTATTTATCAAACAAACTGAGAAAAATCCCAAAAGTAATGCCTTGTAACAACAAAAAGAAGAAAAATTTTAAAGACGCAGACTACAAAGGTAGGTATTAAGTCTTTTAGAAGACTTCAAATAAGCTTAGAACTGGATTTAAAAGTGGATTGAAGGCAGAGAAGAGGCCACGCTCTAAAGGTTGAATAACTTAGTCTTTGTAATAGAGTCTCAACAACTTTATTAAATATGCAGGATCACGATAATGAAGATTTTCTATGCAGATTGGTGGATTCCATCACCTGTTCTCCTGCAAGGAAATGTTATTACACATTGAGATGCACCAATCAGAATATTGTGGCGCGTATTTTCATGCTTATTTGATCTGTTGATAGATTACAGATAATTTCTTGTAAGGCCTCGAATATCTATGACTTCTAATTACATAGGAGCTTTCCTTATTTAATATTGAAAAAAAATACTTTGAAATTAATGTTGCTGAACAAAGGCCAAAGAAAAAACATTGTTGATTTGATCAAAAAAACAGGATTAATATGTCAATTTGAACATTTTGCATAGTAAAATTACCTAATACCCATATATAGTATTATATAAAGCCCTTCACCAACAAATCACTGTGTAAAAAACAAATTAGAACAAAAAACATAGTGGCAGACAATAAGTGATAAATCACTTACCATGAAGTGCCGCCTGAGCTAAGCCTATTTCGTGCTATTGCCATAGATACACCACTTAGATATCCCTAAAGGTAATTATAATATACTCTACTGTTATGATAAAGAGACATCCTATTAAAATGGAAATTAGACTTTGACTCTGGCTTTAAGTGTCCCAGCAATGCAAAGTATTGGACAGCTTGAAGAAGGAGGAAGACTTTTTAAATAATCCTTAACAGTTCAATTGCTTCCTAACCTGTAGCTTCACATAAACACCCTCATAATAAACCAACTTACTCTTGGGGTGTTTAATAATGAAAGGAGATTCAAGCATGGATTGCCTTGATGAGCATTATTTCTCCCAATGGTTTGCTGCGGATAATTGCACATCTTTGAAGGAAAGACTACGATTTTAATCCACGCTCATGAGTGTGTGAGAAACTAAGACCAAACCTCAGGAGTTTGGAAAAGCGAGTAATTGACATCCCCAAATGAGCACCATGATAAAAATAGTAACACCTCAATGACTGGATCATTTCATATCAAGGTCATAAATATATATAAAAAAAGTTAAAATATGAGGGATGCCTCTTTTAGTGGTATTAAAACTTTCAGTCTCCAATATTATACATTTGTTCTCATTGATTACGATGTCACTGCACGTAGCACACACCGAGTAGATATATAACAAAACTTCCTAAGGTATAAACCCTTTGGTTTAAAGTAAAAAAATGATTGTAAAACGTATGTGTTACATTATTCATTTAAAAGTTCAGACTTTGTGTCCCCTGCCAGTTATAGCTCTTTAAAAGTAAAAAAAAAAAAAAAAAAAAAAGAAAAGAAAAAGGTATTGATAAAACCACTACAAATAAGCAGTACAAATCTGAATTAATACAAGTTTAACGTTCTTTAAAAATAGTACAAAAAAAACAAAAGCTAAGGTTTTATCAGCAGTGATGGTTCCAGAACATTTTCATAGAGGAGGTCCAGCATGGACCAATCTACACTGAGGGATGGCAGGAAATTAATACGTGCAAAAACCAGATCAATCCACACGGATCACAATAAACCAACAGAAAAATCACTGAAAGCTGACTGGTTTTTCAAGAGGTTCTTGTTAATACAGCTATGCACATACTTAAACATCAGTGCTGTTTAATTTATACTTCAACACAATATATATAATTACATGGGTTGAGAAGTTATTCTTCTGTAATAATCCTCTGCATTTGTGGTATATTGTTGTGAAAAATTAATTGCTCTCAATTTATGGGTAATATAGTAACCTTAAAATGTACAACCAGGACATTCCTCATTATGGTATCACTGCTGCTACCCTCTGGTTTAGAGACCAGCCAGTTCCAGAAGTGGTGAATTACCGGTATATCAACAGTGGAAAAACCAATCACTTGATGGGAGAAGCTACTTGTGGACTAATTTATGCATCCTGTATACAGTATATTCGCCTGGAAAAAGGTAGGTAGAGCCTGATTTTAAAGGCAGGAATAACAGTTGGTGGAAAGAGTGACAGTGACAGCTCTCACCAACTGGAATTCACCGTTGGCTTTGTCTGCTGGGAATTCAGCTTTATGGCTGCAGTAAAGCTGTATTGCATTATGGGCTGACCTGCCTCCCATGCTGCGATTGGTTGAGTTTGTTTTAGAACAGAGTATTGAGCTTTATCAGACTGACTGACATGGTGACCAATAACTTGTTAAGTGGGGCCTAGGGTCTGCCATAACTCTGCACTCTATGCACAGTTAACATATCACAGTTACAATGGTAGTTGGAGATTATTGTACCTATCGTGTTGGGTACAAACATAAACTTTAAGAAATTTCTAAAGAACTTCGGACATAAAGATAAAGCTCTTTTATTTGAAGAAAAAAAAAATCCCTCATCTCTTTAACCTGTGTTCTGACCGAAAGCTGTAAAATGAAAATAATCATACTTTAGTGTACAGAAAAGAGACGCAACATTTAGCCTTAAAGGTAAATACTTGGTGACAGCAATGTTATTGTGCAGCTGACAGTGTGTAGCACTGCTTTACAGGCTGTTCAGACTACATACAGCCCTATCTTTGTTTTAAATTGGACCTTTTATTATGCTTCAGATGTAAAACCAACGCAAACCATACTGAAGGTTTGTGTCCTATTAATGTGAACTAAATCTAGCTTTTATTTGCTGCAAGTATGTAGTCAAAGTCTACAGGTACAGCAGAGGCAAACAAGGGAGTTAAGTGGCAGCTTAATATTTAATGCATTCTGCCAGTTTTAATTTTTTATTCCAAAGCAGAGTTAAATATAGCTTTAATACTAGCTCAGATTTTTATCTTTTATCATTTTAATCCTGACATTTGTTAGCAAATAAGTTGTTGTTTTTTGTATTTTATTTTATTTACAGAAAAAAAAAAAAATCTTGTTTTTTTTAATAAAAGGGGAATACCAGCCTACCACTACTTTAAGGCCCAGTCCAGACCAAGATGGCGTTTAGTGTATAAGACAAGCTTCTCTTTTAGGGCTTGCATCAGAAAAAGCGGCCGAAAATCTATCTAAATGTACACACTGCGTTGTTTGTGCATAAAAGCTAATAGTCTTCACCATTTTTCACACTTGTGTTCCAACATAAACCACAACGTTGATGAACTTCGGTGTTGCAGTTTTGCTTTAGAAGCTAGGGTTGAGGACCTTACACTGACTACCTGGTGCTCCTCCAAACAAACGCCTATATTTTCTTCTTCCTCCTTCATTGCATACTGCCTATTTCTGCCCTCACTCTTTTACCTTCTTTACCTGTGTTTTCAGTGCTAGCCTACCACCCACTGGTGTGGTATTAAGATGCCCATTACAGCTTCAGGCATTTTCAACTTTACACTTGAGTGTTCTCTTCGTTGATACCTTATTCGACTCCATGTGGATGTAGTCTCACTGGACAAACTTTCTATCAAANTTCGACTCCATGTGGATGTAGTCTCACTGGACAAACTTTCTATCAAAATTTCTCACTTGCAAATGCTATATGCTTACATAATCAATATACTAAATTTAGGATGCTATGGTTTAAGTCGCAGGGAAGCGGCCGTACCAACCATTGCATTTCCGAATTCTCCTGATTGGTGCCCGACTTTACACCAGTGAATAAAGTGAATGCGATTGGTCGATTATAAAGGGGGTGGGATTGTTGTGTCAGAAGATTCGCAAGCCCTTTTGGTTGTGGTCGGCTTCTCGGAAGCATCTTGCTAACCAGTCAGCAACTTAATGGTAGTAGGTCCTCAATGAGAAATTACATTGGCACCAAGTAGCACTTAGCAACGACACTGTCAAGGAACGCTATGGAAAGCGAAAACATGAAAGAGGAGGAGTTTTGTGTCGGAGGTTGTGGATGAGTCTCCTCTGTCATACATTGTTGTATTTAGAGGAGGAAAACAAGGACGAAGTTGTTGTGGAAGAGGACGCCAGGGTGGCAGAAGCTTGGTTTGGTGTAGAAGGCTTACAGCCGCACATGTTTGAGCCCTTGCCTCACAACACTGCCAGTTCCGTTAGCTCTACGCCTGCCGAAGACACAGACTTCCCTGTGAACACTGGGATGTAACTCAATGATAAAGTAAATGATTCTTATTTCCTATTTCAACCGTTGCATATATTAGCTGCGACATATAAATCAAGATGCTATGACCGAAAAAATTTTGACCGACAGATGACTGTTGATATATGATTGGCCGAATTTAGGTGCACAAGCTTATGTATAACTAACTGACCTGCATAAAATAAAGAGAAAAGAAAAAAACAACAACACAGATTTTAAGACAGGATTTTTTCAAAAATAGAAATGTTCTAAATACAGTCTGATAAAGAGTACATTTATGTGCATGTTTAAGCCAAAATATGACTTCCCTACGATTTTAAAGATTGTTAAACTATTTATTCCATAAATCAAGCAATACATAAACCATAACTAATTTATTAACAATAACTTTGGATTCACTTGTTTAAGCACTGAACCATAATCATTAATTTATACAATTTAAACCAGATACACTAAATTTAAAACTGATAAAGTTGTCCTGGGACAACACTGGGATAAGAACATTAGAGGTTTTAGCAATAGTCTTCTGCATTTAACACTGGTTTCTGTGGCTGCATTTGGTTGTTTTTATATGTTTTTTTTTTTTTTTTTTAGATGACGTTATCAGGTTTTTATTTGTTTAGACTTGTCTATATCTAAAAGCTATCTGGAAAAGAATGGGATTGAAATTAATATTTTACAAGACTTTTCAAAACACTTAAACGTCCAGGTAACAATGCGTGACAGAGTTGAACTAAAGAGTTTTCGGATTTGATTCATTTAAAGAACAGGAAAAGGTTAATAAAAATGCCTCTCTTTGATTTATCTTGTCTCGTGTAGAAGTCGGTTGCTAAGTAACGCCTCATCCAGTAACAAAAAAAGTCCAAAAGGTCCAGAAGCTTCTTTATACGTGTAACAAGACAATGAGAGGAAACTATGGTCATCAAAAGTGAAGTTTTGGGGGGAGATAAAGGAGCGAAGCATCATGTGTAATTAAAATGTATAATAACGTGTTCATGAAACTTTTAGCAGTGTATGCTCCACAGTTTGTCCAAAAAGTGCAACATTAAGTTGCTAACTAACCGAGCTAGTATTAGGGATAATGCTAGCCTTGAATTATAAAAAGCGTTTCTTCCTAGATAACTAAAGTTTCTTGTTGGAGTTGTAATGAAATAGGTCTTAAAACCTGACGTGAAGTTAGCTACCATGGGCCCATCAGGCCTGCTTGCTGTAGAAATTTCCAGATGATCAGAGGTTAGCTTGCTATAAACTGTCAGCCTCCCAGCTAACTTATCCACAAAGCACGACTCACCCTCTGGATTGTTTTCCGGATCAAACCGCTGTCCGCATCCCTTATTATAACACAAAACAGACATGATGACGGTAGCAGCAAGTTTTAACCAAACACTAACTTGGGAGTCTGTGTGAGAGAGGCAGAGTTGAGCCGCTGCTGCTGTTTAGCTCCCCTTGTGCCGCTTCCCTGCTCTCACTTCCGGCTTCTGTCGGCTACACTCGGTAAAAATCGGGGAGCGCGCGCCCCCTAGCTCCAGCCTGTGAGCGTGGTCCCACATCAGCGGCAACTGATGCTGGACGCTTTGAAACTTGCCATAGATCTTGATGGCAGCGCGGTGGCCACGGACTGTAACCTTGCAACAAACGATCTATTACTACTGTAAGGTCAATTTGCCAGTGCATACAGTTTTCTGCACACAGAGGTGCTTCAGTCAGGTGCAAACAACTGGGGCAATATTTGTTTAGTTAAATGATGAAGGCAGCATTCTAGCAGACTCATATAAGGTTGCAAATATTTTTTTCTGTTATCACACTCGTCTGTTTTGCGTGTTTTTTTTATTTTATTTCTTATTTTATATAAAAAAAAAATTAATCTGATTCGTGCAGGAGCATGGACACGGATTTACTTTCATCGGTCTCTTCTGTTTCATCAAAAGGTAGGACACTTTGCAATTTGTGAACAAATAGCTACCAGACAAACATGTAGGGACAGATTTTCGTTTGAAACTGGCAAAAACTCTGTGCTTTCTGTAGAAAGGCGAGCTTTACTGAAGCCGCATTGACGGGACCGTCAGTCAGTGGTTTGTTTTCTGTTCTTGGATTAAGATTAGGTCGGATCTGATGTTACCAGATATAACTAGTCCGATTCATGTCTGAAGCTGAAAGTGAACATATGCATTGAATCTCAGCATTGTTAAACTAGAGAGAAAAATAAGCAGGAGATCACCGAGGCAACAACAACAATAAAATAAATAAATTCTGTAAAAAATACACATATTTTTAATATTTAAATAAATATTGTGCATGGGATGGCATTTGATTATCAAAATATGATATCCATTTATTTTACTAAATTATTTAAAAGCGAAAATTGATATAAAAAAGATTGGATTAGTGTTATGAAAAAGTGCCCCCCTTTTTTTTTTAGATTTCCTAATTGCCTTTTTCATCGCTTCAAATCTACAAAATGTTAATATCAGCAAAAAATATTAAAAATAAATTAATCTCTCGATAAATTACCTTATTTAGTAAGGAAAAGAATAAAAAAGACCACCCACCCATTAATTTCTATTATTACACTTTTGCTTAGACGTCAACAGCCGCACCGCACTGATAATGTGAACTTGTACAATTAAAATACCTTTATCAGAACCTCTCTAAACTAAACTAAACTCAAAGATCTTACAGTACATAAGGTCACCAAGTTTTTCAAGCACAGATGAGAGATTAATGTAATAGGTATCAGTCAATCTTAAGAGGGTGACAAAGAAATTTAAAAGGATTTTTGACTTAAGTGATTTACATTAATAGCCAGACCACAGAGAGAAAATACAGAAACTAACTTCTTAGGAGGAGATAAAATAATGTCAAGAATAAAAGTGTGGATCAAGTGGTGGTTGTATGATGAACTTTGGCTGCTTTGTTTCTTTAAGACGTGGACGATTGCTTTAAGTGATTAAAAGGCTATGTATATATACAAAAAAAAAAAAAAAAAAAATCTGAAGGGAAAGATTCAGTAAGCAGGCTGTGACTCTTTAAACATGCTTGAATATTAAAACAGCATAAACCACATCAAGTCCTTTGAATGCCTTAAAAAAATAGAAAATTTTGAGTAGTGTTCTGTAGTCAATGCTGGGACTTAGATCTAACTGAGATGCTGTGATGTGCTCTAATACAGGCTGGTCATCAAATACGATCCAATCCACTTTATTTATATAGCACATTTTTATTAACAAAAATGTTTCCAAAGTGCTGCACAGTAAAATAGACATATGGTCATGCTCCTTTCGATGTGGCTAAATTTAAATAGCTCTTCAAAAGGTAGTGGTATAAATCCCACCACAGAGATGTAAAAGATTCATTGCCACTTCTTACAATTATGCAGACGTTGCAATTACTTTATCACAAAGGGCAAGGTTGATTTGAATTGCATTTTTGCCTTAACGATTGAAATCCTCATTTTCAAATACTGCATTTTTTAATGATTTGACATATTTCAGTGTGATGGCAAAGCAAAAGAAAAGAAAATATTGCTGACAATGCAATTTTCCCTCTATAGGTAGACTTTGTCATTTTGTATACACGTATCAATGTTTTTTACCAAAAAAAACATACTTTAAGTTGACACAATCTTTCTAGAGAGCAAGTATATAAGCTTAGCTAACCTGTGCTGCAACAAGTGGAAAACAGCAGGTCCGCCTTAATCCATGCTTTAAGCAGCAGGAAAATCAAGTCAGTGTGTCACTTTTTCTTGCATGCCATCATAAGTACTCTAAGCCATCGGAACGGTAGAATGAGAAATTTTAATATTAAATCTCATCTCCTTAAAATGGCTTAAAACTCTAAACATTGTAGCATTAAATAATGATCAGGTTTGATTACATATGCTTGCACCTTATTATACCATGTAACCAGAAAAAGACCCATAGCTAAAGCTCTGTTTGAAATGTGCCAGAGATTTTATTTTATTTTTGTTATTATTTTCAGAATTCAGAGTCAGAATGCAAACTGCTGGCGTATGGCCAGATGTGCTGTCATTAACACATAACAAAAAATATATACTGCCGAAGCGTCACGTAAGTTTACTCTTAAAATGACTTTTTAAAATCCTTTGCATGTACACATTTCTTAAACTTCTTACCAAATGTCTGTTTTTCTTTGTTGTTGTTTTTTTTAAACAGGATGACTCAGTAATGGAATATTGATGAAGCTTAATCTGTGGGGAAATATGCTTCCTCTATCCCATTTTCTAGTTTTGTTTTGTTTTATTTTATATATCTTCATCTTTTTCCCTACTATTGATGCCCAGTACCTATCTACACGTAGCGCAGGACAAAGCTTGATGCTCTTCACCCAGCCATCCTATAATGCTTCAATCTTTGAGAATTCAGCAGTAAGAACCTATATCACAAGTGAGGTCAGAATGGGAATCACGCTTGTGTCATCCTGGCCTTTAAACTTGAAATATTCCATTGAGTCTGGGGACAGCGACGGCATCTTTCAAGCTGAGGAGTTTGTAATGGGAGATTTTTGTTTCCTACGTATAAGCACTAATGGAGGCAGTGGTGCCACGTTGAACCGGGAGGTTCAGGACAATTACACTCTGACAGTCAAGGCGTCTGCTCACAGCGGCCAGGAGGCATTAGCCACTATATTTATCAAGGTCTTGGATACAAACGACCTCCGACCACTGTTTTCTCCAACCTTCTATTCATTTGTTGTCTCTGAAAGTGCACCCCTGGGCACCAGCATCGGACGTGTAACAGCCACAGATGCTGACATTGGCTCAAACGGGGAGTTCTACTACTTCTTCAAGAACAGAATAGAGCTATTTGCTGTTCATCCAACTAGTGGGGTTATAACTCTCACAGGTCGACCCAGGATAGACAAGAAAGAAAGATTTGAGCTTGAGGTGCAGGTGGTTGACCGAGGCATGAAACTATATGGGAATAATGGCGTCAGCAGCACTGCTCGACTGGTCTTAACTGTGGATAGGGTTAATGAATTTGCTCCTGTCCTTAGTGCAGTAGCAGTTGTCCCATCTGTTACGGACAAGGATCTTATTTATGCCATTTTGACTGTGGAAGATAAAGATGAGGGGTTATCAGGGGACATAGAGTGGGTTTCTATTATCGAAGGAGACCCTTTCGAACAGTTTGTCATTGAGAGATCACCTTATGGGAACAAATATAGGGTTAAATCATCAGAACTGATCTACTGGGAAACATATCCCTATGGCTGCAACTTGACATTCCAGGCCAAAGACAGAGGCCTACCTCCAAAATATTCAAATACCCAAGTTGTTCAGTTGGTGGTTACAAGGCAAGAACCCATATTGGCAAACTTTGAGAAAGACATTTATGCAGTCAAGGTTAGTGAAATCGCTCCCCCAGGAACTATTGTAGAGGTGGTGAAAATATCCCCAGCACCCACAAATGTCAACTACAGTTTTAGCAGCCTCTCGGATCCTATGTACTTTGAGATAAACCCTTTGAATGGGGTTATTATGACCATAAGGCAGCTGACAAAGCTATCCTGGGATTTCATTGAGTTGGAGGTAATTGATTATATCAGTCAGCAACAAGCAAAGGTTCAAATTATCATAGAGGACGCGAATGATAACTCTCCAGTGTTCAGCCAGCCATCCTATGATATTGCAATTAATGAGAGCTTACCTATAGGGACTGTTGTTCTTGTGGTGTCCGCTGTGGACAGTGATAAAAGAGAAAATGGATATGTAACTCACACAATCAATGGTGAGGAGTCTCTTCCATTTAGTATAGATGAGGATACCGGGGAGCTGAGGATCACTAGAGATCTGGACTATGAATCTTCAGAGGATGTATATATTTTTGCAGTACGAGCCTCTGACTGGGGTTCACCCTATAGAAGAGAAACAGAGGTTAATGTCACCATTCGGGTGTTAAACATTAATGATAATAAGCCTGCTTTTGAGAAGATTTCTTGCAGAGGGATGATTAGTCGTGATTTTCCTGTTAACCAGACCATCGTCACTTTGTCGGCTATAGATATTGATGAGGTCGGAATGGTGCGGTACAAGATATTGTCTGGGAATGAGTTAGACAATTTTGAATTGAATCCTGACTCAGGGGCTTTAACACTGAAAAGATCATTTGTCTCAGACAGCTTGAAAAATCCTACATTTAACCTGAGAGTGGCTGCAACAGATGGAGAGATATTATCTGATCCCACATTCGTGAATATATCAGTTGTGAGAGGTAGGATGCCACCGGGGGGGTTCACCTGCAAGGAGACCAGGGTAGCTCAGTTTCTTGCAGAGAAGATGGTCTCCAAAGCATCTGCAATGGCCAAACCAAGATCGGATGAAATGTATATAGATCTTTTCTCTACAAACAAACAAGCTCCACAGTTTGAAGCTTTGCCTACAAGCATTCTTGTGAGAGAGGATCTGAGTCCTGGCTCCAGTGTTTTTCTTGTACGAGCACGAGATGGTGACATCGGGTTTAATGGCCGCGTTCTTTATTCCATTTATGATGGCAACAAAGAAAACAGCTTCAATATCAACATGGAGAATGGCCTGATTACTGTTTTGCAACCGCTTGATCGTGAGCGGATAGATCGCTATTTCCTAAATATTACCATCTATGATCAGGGAATTCCTCAAATGTCTAACTGGAGACTGCTGACTGTGATCATTGAGGATGCAAATGACAATACTCCCCAATTTTATCAGGACAACTACTCTGCTGTTGTTGCAGAAAACTCAGACCTCGGCATGGAAGTAATTGCAATGACTGCTTTTGACAGAGATATAGGCCAAAATGGTCTATTCTCCTTCAGAATGCTGACAAATGTTCCCCAATTTGGCATTGACAGTGAAACTGGAAGTGTATTTGTTGCAAGTCAGCTGGACAGAGAAGCACAATCTATGTTCATACTGAAGATTGAAGTAAGAGACAAGGCTGAAAGAGGCACTAGAAGGTCATCAGTGACTACTCTAAACATAATAGTGGAGGACATCAATGATTGCTCTCCAGCTTTCATCCCCAGCAGCTATAGTGCCCGGGTACCAGAGGACCTGCCCTTAGGGGCTGTGATTACCTGGGTGCAGGCTCAGGACCCAGATGTTGGATCTGGTGGACAAGTGCGATATTCCTTGATCAATGACTTCAATGGCACTTTTGAGGTAGGTCTTTTCAGAGTTAACATAACCTTTTATGTTTCGTATAGATAAACCAAATTATTAATATGCAAAATCCCTCTGTTTTCTGTTATTTCTCTGTAATCAATCAGTAACAAAAGTTAAAAGAAAATTAAACTGAGAAAGCAATGTGCTGCTTTAATTATTTTGAGGTTATTTAAAATATTTAAATACTTTAAAGAGGTGTAAAGAGAAATAATACATACAAGCTTTTGTTTTAACTAGAGCTTTAAACAACTCTCGTTTGGAAACATTTCCTAATTTTCAAGGATTTGTTCATGATCAGCTGGTTATACTAATTTCCATCTCTAAAACTGAGAAATGGATTTTTATAAATCCAAAACCTGACCAGAATATCTTAATATCCGTTTTTTTATTCATAATATATGATGGACAGTCCTTTTTTTTTTTCTTTAGCCCCTTATTTTTTTCTATCTAAGCATATTTTGCATCTGGTTAATTTCCCTTTTAAACTCTTTGTTTGTGTGTGCACAGGTTCTAAATAACTGGGTTAAAATAATTCATTACTATTCGATGTGATTATGAATGATATTATTTCTTAAATGTTAAAGAAAATTAATAAAGTGACTGTGAAAATTGAAACACTTTGTGCAGATCAATGCTGTGACTGGTATTCTGAGAATTGGCAAGGAGCTGGACTTTGAGACAAAGCAGTTCTTTAACCTGACTGTTCTTGCGGAAGACAGAGGAATATCAAGCCTTCAAAGCATCACATTTGTGGAGGTTGAGGTGTGTAACAGAATCGCTTATAATCTTTTTTATGTCAGTGATTGCAGACAAACAGAATATATCCACACAATTTATTATTTTAAATGAAATCCAACCAGTACTTACTTCTCATTTCTACAGGTGATGGACGTCAATGAAAATTTGTATGCTCCCTACTTCTCCGACTTTGCTGTGAAAGGTTCAGTGAAGGAGAACTCTCGCACAGGAACAAGTGTCCTGACTGTCAGAGCTAAAGATGATGACAGGGGACGGGATGGCGTGTTGAGATACTCTGTCCAAGGAGGCAGTGGACTGGGCACTTTCACCATCGATGAAGACACAGGTGTGATACTAGATAAATTTTTATGCATATTTCTGTGAAGTGGAAATTCAATGATGTGCAGCGCAAGGCTTAGAATATGAATAACCCCCTTTGAAAGTGGGAAATCTTAGCATGTTATAAGCTACTAACATTTGGTTTCCAATTTGTGTGGTCGCTATTTTTTTAGGCTTTTTTAATTACTTTTTTGTGACAAAAACCCTAACTTTTTTTATATCCAGCTTAGTTTTTTTTGTAAGATTTTGAATAAGCATATTAGATGTGGAAAGTCAGGACAGTGTGTGTACAGACCCAGTGAGTTTCCAGATGTGACCTCACATGGTAGCTGTGTATTGGGAGATCATTACTGTAATGATGGCTGCATGGAGGCAACACTCCCTGGGCCTCAGGCAGCACCATATAACTGATCCAGCGCTGTGCAGGCAAGGCTGTCGTGCACGACAGCCCACCGTCTCTAAGTATTGAGAAATAAGTGTGACTTATTTAAGAGTTGTGACCCAGAATAAAATGCAGTAGGTGCAAGATATTGCAATAATTTTTTGTCAAGAATTGTTGCAGGATCTTGCCACTTTGCATCTACTGTATGTCACAAGAGGTTTTAGACCTATTTCTCTTCTTGTCTCTCCATGGTGCTGAAACATTTATACAAAGTTTGTTCAGTTCTACTTACCACGGAGTGTCGTGGGAATGAAGAAGACTTTTTAGTCTTTTCTTGGTTTCTAGTATTACAGCTGAAACAAGAATAGTGAGGATTTTGAACTTTATTATTCAACGCTGTCTGTCAGTCCTCAGCTTTCAAACAGGCTCCTCTGAAATGTGCAAAAAAAAGGGGGGGAAAAAACCAAAAAACAACAACCCAGCAATCTCATGTATTAATTTTGACATGTTCAGTGCTTTGTTGTTTTGATTTATGGTTTCCTGTTTAGAGCATTTTACACTTTCACTTTTCAAAAATGAACTTTACCATTGTTTCTCATTTAAAAATTTAGGCAGTTTATTTAGGCAGACGTCATATAACTGATTCATTGCCATAATTAGTATATGATTTGTAAAGCTTTATATGCAAACCAAAGGTTCTGCAGTGATATTCCAGTAACAATAAACAGATTTAATGATAGACATATTAATTAGCTGTTGATTATTGACATTTTGCAAGGAAAGATCAGTACAAACACTGGTTTCTCTAGTGCCCTTTCCCACTCACCTCATGTTGCTCTACTGTATATAACTTACACTGGAAGCTTGTATTGACATTTAACAGGGCTAATTATTATTGACTGTAGTTGAGAGTGAAACAGATGGACAAAGAGAGTGCCTCTCGCTCCACTCTTCGGCTGTCCTCCATTCTGTGGATTAAAGTGCATGTACATTTATATAAAGAAATAAGGCTTATATTAGTGAATGGAGTTTTTAAGGATGTCCCAATCCGATGTTTTTTGAAGAAATTGATCTGATATCGGTAAAAAACCTTTTAGTTGGCATATAAAATCATAGATATAAGCAAGCTGCTACTGTTTAAAGTTTCTGTAACCCATCGGTCAACAATAAATGGGTCAGTTGCCCTCATGTCTATTGCTGTTGACTGATAAAGCTTTGTTCTAACATCCAAACTATCAGTATCACTCAATACTCAAAGTTGGAATATTGTTATCATAGTGGAAATAAAAAAGTTGCACCTGTACACCCCTGGTAAATATATCCTGTTTGCCTAGAACATTATTTCCATGTGAAAGTATTCCTAAACAGTAAAAAAAAAGTTTTACTTTGACACCTATAGAGTTGAATATAACTTGTTTCAGATAGCATTTGGTCCCATTCCAAAATTAGTGTAGTAAATTATACTCACATTAGTGCCAAGACTTCTCAAAGACTGGCAGGTAATGAACACCATATAGAGTAAAAGTTACACTCTATGACTGTCAAATTTTACACTGATAATTAACTCCAAAACATAAACAGATTTACACTCAGTATAGTTGTAAATACTCAATTTAGAGTTAGGTGGGTTGACTCTGAATTTTTAACACCCATTTTTTTACTGTATAATATTTAACATGTTTGGATACAACACTATACACTTTAATGTATTTTATTTTGATATTATGTGATGCAACAAAAGAGGTACATCATTGTGATTTGATAAATGGAGTATGATTTAAGTTTATGAAGTTCTAAAGCTTAAATGTGTCGCATCCATATGTATTAATTTCTTTGTAATTCTGGTGGCTTACAACAAAATTGAGTCCAAGACATAGCTTTCAGAGTTCAGAGCTAGCAAAAGTCCTCAGTGTAATTGCAGCCTAGAGGAAGGCCTCTGGGGTTTATTCTGTCAACACTACAACCTGTAATCACACTTCCACAATCTGACCTGGAAGAGAGGCGTTAAAGTTTGCTATAAGCCATGCAGGGAACACAGAAAATGTGAAAGAAGACGTAGTGGTCAGAGAAGAGCATATTTTCTTTTGTCTCCAAACACTGAGTGAAGGACTGCTAACGTCAAGCATGTAATGAAAATACCATATCGACCCTGAATTGCTCATATGGTAGTAGGAAATATGAAAGAAAAAGATTGAGACAAAAGTTAATTTTGCTCCAAACAGATTCAATCAAGTACTTAGATATGAACTGTCTCATTGATATATCTGTATCCTCATTATTTATATATTTTGATTGATATATTAAATGGTTGACTTTATGGCTCTCACAGTGGAGAAATGTAATCGTTAAATCTGTCATGGTTGGTCTTAGGATTAAACCCACATGCAGAACACCACTGGAGACTGATAAAAAGTTCAACAGATTTATTTAAAGGTTTTCATAACAATGATATGACTGGATTCAGGAACTGGACCGGGCTGGATTCTCTGGCGTCTGCAGAGACGGATAGATTGGTTAGCCAGGTTAACAGATTATTTGTTGAGTTTCTGATGTTTCTTAGAATACCTGAAGGGGTCCAGGTTTTCTTGTCTGAGAGAGGGAACCGGTTGGGTCCAGAGACTGTTGGTTCAGCAGAGTGCTCAGCAGCAGCAGCGTCTAGCTTCTGACTTT